GGGGATAATACTTACCCACCTTTGCAGAGAGGTTTGAGATGATTGGGTAAGAAGTGCTTTTAAGTGTGTGCATTTGGTGCACACCTTGACAGAGTGACCTTGGGGAACTCCCAAGTCTTAATTATAGCAAACCGTAAATTCCCTGCAAGTCCATAGGTCACACCCGACACCACTGTTTTCAGCTCAGGTGTAACATAGGCCTGCATTCCAAGGCAGGTCACTTGTACAGTCACTAGTGGATATAGTGTACTCTTTCTAACCTGTCTCTCCTATGTACTCTCCCCCTTTGCTACAGATATTGCGAGAGCCGACGAAGGGTTTTGTTGCAGCATGTGCATGAAGGCTATGAGAAAGACCTGTGGGAGTACATTGAGGACTGAGACGGGCCTGCATAAAATGAACTCTGAAAACTTTACCATCTAGAGTGCTCATGAAATTAAAACAAAACACACACAAAAGAGGCACTATGCCTATTACACCGCTGGGTCTGTAGTACCGGGATTCTGTTTTGTTAACAGAAAATTTAAGTAAATTATATTGTAATAAAAAAGGTAGATAAACCATTGTACAACAGTATTCTAGGCGGCCAATAAGAGTGTGACAGACGCACTAAAAAAAAAAAACCCTCCAACTTTAACTTGTAACGTAGCTTCATTCTCCATGCCGATTCCTTTTTCTTTTCTTTCTATCTTTTCCTGTGTGTAGTACAGATGAAATTTAAACCAGTTTCCTGACACTGCTTTTCATGTCCAAACCAGCCATTTTGATGTACCTTTGGTAAGGGGGAAGGGGTTTCTCCCCTCCCATCCCTCCTCCTCTCACGCACCCAAGTACATGAATGAATGTTGATTGGCTCTTGTAAAGACCGTTCTTGGGGAGGGGAGGAGGGGGGTACACAGCAAGGAAAAAAAAACCCTTTGTATATGAATTTTAAAACAGAGGACAACACAGTATTTTTCAAAATTGTATATAGCGCATATGCATGGACAAAGAGCAAGCGTGGCACGTGTTTGCATAATGTTTAATTACAAAAAAATATTTATTCTTTAAAAATCTTCAAGATTATGTCTATTTGCTGTGCATTTTCTTTCAGTTTGATTTTTTTTTTCCTTCCCTGGGGCAGGGGTGGGGGGAGCGTGTGCTGGCGTTAGTGACTGTCAAAGGTTTTTATCTGAGAAGTTGGGTTTCTCCTCTTTGTGCAGCTCTTTTTTGTCCTTGGCCTTCATGGTTTATATGTTTCCATTGCTGGCAACAGAACCATCCCCTCCCTTCCAGCTTCTCACAAACTGATTTAACCTGGTGTGTTTCATTAGAGATGAATTTACCTCGTGATTCAGAATGCTTTGCCTTTTTTCTTTTTAGCCCAGAATGACACCACTTTAACTGCCCAAATCAAACCTAGCTGTTCCCATGCACCTAGGACATGCGCTCTGCTCCTAGCTTGAAGGTCAAACCTATAGGAAGTGTATGTTTAGGAATTTTTAATGATGGAAAGGAAGTAGGGGGGGGGTGTTTTTACAGGACTTGTCAAAGAGCATCTAAAGATTTCAACTGTGTGGATCTCTTCTCCCTTCCACTTGCAGCTGTCAGATGGAACGTTCCTTGCTGTTTTCACTTGCATTATAACAAATCGTGACATTGAAAAGGAAGATGGTGGAATTGTCCTTGTGTTTGTATTGGGTTCAATTACTGGGCAAACTGTCCTGGCAGATATTTAACACTCCATCTAGTACAGTAGAAATTGAAATCAGTGAGCTATTTTTCAATGAAAAGGGGAAAGAACTAATGAATTTTAGCTATTGAATCCATTTTTATGATTTCTGTAACAAGAGCTATGTTAAAGTAATTAATTGGTGGTGGTTTTATTAAATTTCTCCTGTATAGGACTTCCTTCTGTGGTATTTTTCACCAGGCTAGTGTTCTAAGAACATTCCTGATTAACCTGAACTGAGGTTCAAGGGGAGAAAATAGAGGGGTGAATAATGGAGGCAGGTTAATATGATCCTTAATATGAAACACCAGCCTCACCTGAAATCTTCTTGGTCACTTGAGCCTCTTCCATTTGGAGCTACTGTCAGTAAATGCTGTGTGCCTCCACACCCTTTACACACCTTTATTTCCCCCAAAAGGTTTTGTTTGTGTCAAACCCTCTTACCATAATGTTGGAGCAGAATGAATGCGCCCACCCTCATAATTTGTATTCTGTGCACTTTTCTTTGAGGCTGTTCCTGGGTGGGGAGAAAGTAATGAGGGTTCACATGTATATAGTGAAGGGCTCTGCTCCGATTTAATGTGGACAAGCCACAACTTAGACATTACCCAAACCTTGAAACTGTCCGGCCTCCCTTTACTTTTCCCTGCTGTATATTAGCAGCTCTATGCCGCCCAGGCTTCACTGATTGGCTCTTGGAAAGCTTCACACCCAAAATGTGTATTTCCAGTTCAAAATTTAAATAAAAATGCTTTCTAAGATAGTGTCTCCACCTGGAGCTGATTTCAGGGGAATGACTGGCAGGGCTGGGTGCATGGATGAACAGGGGTGGATGTGGGTCACTGAAACAAAATATTCCACTTAAATTTCCAGCAGTAAGGTTTTTGTCTTATTTTTGCTGACTGTTCTGGGAGCTGAGAGTCCAAGCACATCCTTGTAGATCCAGTTGTGACCGGGAACCTGTCTGGTGTTCTTTCCTTGATCTTGATGGCTGTACGTGGGACTCATTTAAATACTGACTAACATCACTGTCTGCTGCTAATAGTTCTGCTGGGCAGTCTGTCACTTTCCTTTTAGTCCAACTTTTGAGTTCTCTTACAAGAATTCTCCCTGTTTATGTTCCTTCTACAAAGGCCCATCCCCCCCCCTTTTTTTTTTTTTTTTAGAGCAAATTTTGGCAAATAAGATGCACTGACTGTCTGCCTGACTTCAGCTGTGCAAAGTAACAGCTAGACCTATGAATAGCAAGATGAAGCCAGTGAAGGGGTGTCTGCCTTTTCTTGCAAGGCTATAACAGCTCATCCTCAGACTCCCCCTGTCAACCTGCTGCCCTGTTTTGTTTCTGTGCTTTACAGATCTGTAACTAGCTCTTATGTTTGAAACCCTTAACTCTAGTCTGTTCTATCACAACCGCAACTTGACATCGTAGTTGTCTGGAGACGAAAATAAAGACCCATTGTTTTAACGGAGGGCTTGGGCTCCTGTGCCTGAGGGGGAGGCAGAGACAGAGGGAGGGGAGGCAGGATGCGGAGGTTCGTTCCTTGACCTTCTAGTTCTCCAGGGAGAGACTACCATGTGCTGTGGGAAATCCGTGTTCGAAGGCAATTGCATTGCAAGTGCGGGCCTGGGCTGTGCGGAGGTGGCCCGGGGAGGGGGAGCATTCCTGAGCCTAATAAACTTTTATTTTGTTACTTCACTAGCTGAGGTGTGCGTGTGTTTGTAGTGGATCCCTCTGGCACCTGCCATGAGGAGGGGAGCGCTTGGTGTTGCCAGGTCTCAGATATGAAATGATCATAGTGGAAGCTCAAAATTATATTTACTGAGGTGTAGGTTGTAGCTGTGTTGGTCTAAGGACATAGGCAGACAAGGTTCTCCGAGTGAATCCGGTGTCTTTTATTAGACCAACTTAAATAGTTGGAAAACAATTTTTAAGCAAGCTTTCGGGTTCAAAAACCCTTCGTCAGGCTAAGGAAGCTGCAGCAGTTGGTGTGGGCTCTTCCTGGATGGAATGAAATGAAATGAAGTGGCGTCTTTGCTTTCCATTCCATCCAGGAAGAGCCCACACCAACTGCTGCAGCTTCCTTAGCCTGACGAAGGGTTTTTGAACCCGAAAGCTTGCTTAAAAATTGTTTTCCAACTATTTAAGTTGGTCTAATAAAAGACACCGGATTCACTCGGAGAACCTTGTCTCATTGGCTGAAAAACACACACAGTGAAGAAAGTATGCAAATAAGTCTTTCTTACTTATATTGCTCACTGCAACTGGCCCAGTGAGTGAATGAGAACTGGGTCATCAAAGCTGAAGCATTTTTTATTTTATTCTGAGGCTTCTTGTGGGCTAAGATTGAGTGTAGGGAGTGTCTGAAGTTCTTCTCAGCCTCTTGGAGGCTCAGATCAAGCATGGTGGCATCTTGGCCTGGCAGGGGAAATACCATGCATCTGTGTGTAAGAAGGCAGTTTTCCTGAATCACACTGCAGGATACCTGCTCTTCTGGCATGGTTCAGTACCTGCCGGGGTGCAGCAGCTTTAAACCCAGTTTATGGAAATGGGAGTCTCCTCCCTTGCTTGCTGAGGGCTTATGGCTAAGGACAAGCAAAACTTCAGGCATCCAAACCCCAAACCTCCAGGCTTGAGCCTGTGAGTCAGATACCCACCAAAGGTTTTGGAAACATCTGAAGCCCCAGCTGCAGGTGCAGGATGTTTGCCAGGTGTGGGGCCACTTGCGGTGCTGGAGTCTTGGATTTGGAATTAGTTAATGGCTAATTTGGCCTGGGCTACAAATTAAAAATAAAGTTCTGGACTCAATAGTCTGGAATGGATGATGTTGCCTGTAGTTTCTGGGGGCATCCAAACCCCGAGACCTCCAGGCTTGTGCCTAGCACTGGAGGTGGGAGGGTCTGAAATCCCAGGGTGAGAGGTCTGGGCCGGAGGATGCTAGCCCGGCGTAGCCCCCTCCCCCCCTCTGCCGAAGGAGAGGGCTCTGCCTGCTCCGGGCATGCGGTTTGGGGCTGATTGGGCTACTTTGACCTGGACCGTGAAACATATACATGTTAAAAATATATTTCTATTTCGAGGTAAGCCGTGGTAAGGAAGTGCTGACAGCAGCCGAGAGTCAGTTGAGCCTTCCTGAGGGATTACGGTCTAATAAAAGAGATCACAACATTTCCCGCAGCACCTGCCGGAGCCTGGAGCTGGGCTCTGCACGGGATCTGCCAGTGACCCGCCTGCCTCCGAAAGGCCTGAACATTTTTTGCTACTGATTGTACAAGGGTGGAAAGTCCCGTACACCCACCTCCCTACTGTGCGCCTGGCGCCCCCGCCCCCGCCCCGCGGGCTCAGCACGGGCCCAGAGTGGCCCTGCCCCAAGCGGGCGGCGCACCCCGAGCTGGCTGCGACGGGAGCGACCCCGCGGCACCTGGAGGGCGGGGGGGACCTTCCCGGCAGCCCCCGCGCGGCCCGCTCCCGCCCCCATAGAGCTCTTCCGGGTCAGCCGGTCCCCCTGGCAACGGACAACTTCCGTCTCCGACCGGGCCGCGATGGCGGGGCCGGGCGCCCAGCTGGTGAGGCGGCACGTGCACCACCCTCACCCTCACCCTTCCCCGCCCCGCGCGAAGAATGGCCTCGGGTCGCAGCCGCTTCGGGCTCCTCTGCGCTGGGGGCCGCCGCCGCCCTGGGGGAGGGTTTGCTCCGCGCGGGGCTCGGCCCTGCGCCCTGTGCCCTGCTCGGCCCCGCGCTGCCAGGTCTTACATATGACATGCTCGTCTTGGCAGCTCAGATCTGTCGGCTGAAAAACTACCGTCGGCTGAAAGAAATGCTCAAATAAGTATGCGAGCGAGCCGGCTTATTTGCTTTCTATCGCTCGCTGTACGTCGCCAGGGAGCGAGTGAGTGAGAGAGACCTGCGTGGGCAAAGTCGAAGCATTTCTTTGCTGTTAGGCCCTTAGTCGTAAGGATGTCCTGACCGCAAACCTGCTTGTGGGCGAAGGTGGAGCATAGAGAGTCTCTGCAGGGTCCGAATTACGGGGCAGCTCGGGGGGGCTGAGCCCCATAAGAGATGAGAGACCCTATAAGACTTGAAAACCATACCGGGGGGGGGAGGTCTCTTGAGTGGATTTGTTAATTAATGAACTGGTTTAACTTAGTTAAACCCCCCTCAAGAGTCAAAGTGTCATTCAAACCAGCCTTTGAAAGCTCAGGGCAAGCATGGTGGCTTCTTACCTCGGCAGGGGAAATACCATGCGTCTGTGTCCAAGAAGGCGGTTGTCCTGAACCGCCTCGCAGGAGAACTGCTCTT